TGCCCTCCTAGAATTGCTTTTCACATAAGTTTTAACATGCTTGGTTTCCATTTTCAATTGAGTCAAGAAACTTTAAAATTTTTCTTTTAATTTATTCAATGCTCTATTGCTTGTTCAGGAGCATAGCCTTTAATTTTCAAAGATTCATATATTTCCAGGGTTTCTTCTGTGGTTGATTTCTAATTTCAATTTATTGTTGTAAATAAAGCTAACTGAATTTTTTAAAATTTATTATTAGATTTGAAACGACTTGTTTCATGGCCTAACATATGATCTATTCTAGAGAAGGTTTCATATGCACCTAAGAAAATGCATATTCTGTAGCTATTAGAGGGAATGTTCTGTAAATGTCTCTAAGATCCATGTGGTCTAATGTGATTCAAATCCCATGTTTCTTTGTTAATATTGTCAGGATAATCTGCCTTTGATAAAAGTGGGGTGTTGAATCCCCCAACTACTATTACAGATATTAATTTTGCAGTCTCTCTCTCCTTTAAGATCTATTAATGTTTCTTTTACATATTTATTAGCTTCCTAATTTCACATAATAATTGTCACCTTTCCTTTTGCATTGCTTTTGTTTACTGGCACATATCCTTGGACCTTACATGATACTCACATATTACTTCCTGAATTAATGAATAAATAAACAAGGCCATGAAATGGAGGATCCTCTTCCAAATGTTCTTATTTCAAGATATGCTTATGTTATTTTTAATTCTTCACTATATATGAATCTAGATTTAATGGCTCAATCAGTCAACCCTAAAGTTATATTTTTGCTTTTTGTTGTTGTAATTATTCACAAATTATACTAATGCCTCAACTGCTGTTTTAAACTCACTGAGAATAAAGGCATACATTTTTTTTAAATATTTATTTTTTAGCTATAGGTGGACACAATACCTTTATTTCATTTTTATGAGGATCAAACACAATGCCTCATGTGTACTAGGCAAGCACTCTACCACTGAACTACAACTCCAGCCCCTAAAGGCATACATTTTTCAGTCTCATTTCCTTAAGTGGCACAACATGGTACTTTGCAAAACTTGGTCTTCAGGAAATGAGTGTGGGATAAATTAATTAGAGAATATGAACTGGTACTTTCCTAAGTTCTTTCTAAAATATTGTTTATCACATATATTTTTGCTTTCTTAGGTAAAGGAAAAGATTTGATTATATATTTACTTGTAAAATGGAATAAAATTTTTTGAATCTCTATAAACATCTATTAATCCTTATCACAAAAATGCAACTTTAGATACAAACTATGAACATGTTTTTACATTAAGCACAATAGTAGAGAGGCTAGTAACTATGCAATAGGTTTACAAATAATACTAGAAATACACAGAAACTCAAATTCTTTTTTTTGTTTTGTTTTGGGGGATACCAGTAATTGAACTCAGGGGCACTCCACCACTGACTGAGCCACATAACAGCCCTATTTTGTATTTTATTTAGATACCTGGTCTCACTGAGTTGCTTGCCCCTCATTTTTGCTGAGGCTGGCTTTGAACTCTTGATCCTTCTGCCTCAGCCTCCCAAGCCACTGGGATTATAGGTATGAGCCATGGTGATGGCCAGAAATTCTTCAATGTGCTTAAAATATCAGGTTTCGCAAAATTAATATCGGTAGTGGTAGAAAAATAATATACCTCTTGCTAGAATTAGCTAAAACAGATATTTCCAATTAGAGTAGTAAAATACAAATATTAAAAGTATCTGGGTCCATCTTCATCAATTATACTTTTCACAGGATGCAAATAGTTTCATACCATGTAAAAACTGTAACAGTAATAGCCATGACAAAATAAAGCTCTAAAGTAAATGCCACTCTAGACTCTAATTAATAGTGGAATTGCCATATAAACACTGTTGTTTGTGAGTCAGAGAATGTCTTGAATCTAAAAATACATAAATTATGAAACAACACTTTTATAAATATTTAAATTTTACCAATAAATCCCATAGGAACCAAAATAAAAAAAAATCAAATGAACCTTTTCAATTACATTGATATTTCTTACAAAGTATATTTGTATTCTTTCTACAAGTCATCAAATAATAATAAAAATTCCTATTGTTGTATAGCATTTAACATCTTGCAAAATATATATTTACTGATATAATTCTCACAAAAAATGATACAGGATATTACTGTTATTACTTCCTAAACCACAAATGATGTGAAGTTTAGAGCTTGGACTATCAACTCTCATGACTCCAACTTCAATGTTCTTTTCATTATTTCACTATTTGTTACTTTTTCTCTTGTCTAAAATCCCATTTATTTCATGTCTTCCTCCCTTAAGACATCTGTCACCTCATTTATGTACAGCTTTTATAATCTAACAATACATTATGAATTCCTTCACTAGGATCTAATAGACACTTATTAAATTTCTGAAAAAATACCTATATTTTTTTATCTTCTTCTAGGTAACAGGTATATGAGGAAAGAAATAATAGAATCTTAGCTTATGGAAGATACATCTGCACAAAATGAAAAAGACCTGAAAACTCCAACAAAACTGTCTATATTACCTTAAATTCTGGTTTTTAACTGCCTGAAGAGTTTAATATTACATAGTGAGAGCTCACTAGAATAGAATTAAGTGTAGAAAACCTAAGGAATTGAAGGAAATACAGGTTTACGCATCTTTAATAGAGATACTTGCAAAATTTTACAAACAGAAAGAAGTCAAGTAAAATATTCCAATGTGAACTTATAATAATGTTTTATATTTAAAGGAAAATATTAAAATAGGTTATATTTTGTAAGTTTTCTCTTTCCTTTTTGTTTCTAAAAATATTAATTTAAATTTGTATAGCTACATTTCAAACTAGAAGTGGTAGTAAGAGAAATATTTCACATTCAATGTATGATTTATTTCAAAAATTATAACATTTAGGGTTTATAAAATAGAAAATAAATTGTAGTTAATTAGTTTATACTGACTTTACCTATGATCTTTCCTTCTATATTACCAATATGGTCACAAATTGGAATACAGTAGGTTATCTACATCCATAACCTTAAAGGGACATACAGTTCAAACAGTTTTCCATGGAAATAAAGAATAATAATCTTTGAAATGGTATGGTTTCTTAAAAATTAGGCTGGACACATGAAATAGGGCAAGCATGATTATCCAGTTGAGGTTTGAATATTATGCAAAGTTAACAGTTTCACAACTACACTACATACTTTAATAGACTTGTTTCATTTACCCATCTGAATGGTATTCATTTTCTTTTTTCTTTTTTTTTATATTTCTTTAGCTGTAGTTGGACACAATATCTATTTATTTTTATGGGGTGCTGAGGATTGAACCCAGTGCCTCACATGTGCGAGGCAGGCGCTCGACCACTGAGCTACAGCCCCAGCCCATCATTTTTATTTAACTACAATTGCTAGATGTGGATACACCAAATGCTACTGAATCATACATTTTAAAATGGTCGATTTTATGACACGTGAATTTCACCTCACAGACACACACACACACACGCGCGCGCATGTTTGTATATACATATTATACATATAAACATACATATATTATGGATAGATGTATAAGTCACTAAGTTACCTAAAGCTCTATTTGGTTCATTTAATTTTCATAGTTTGATCTTTCCATAAATCAATTAGTATCACATCTTGAAAATGCATGCCATTTGAAATAATGAAGTGAAAAATTTCAAATGGGGCAGGGGGGATTCCATCAAAATACAAGAAAGACTAGATGAAGTGACTGAGGGGGAGAGAGAAGGGATTGCATAAAGGAAGAACAGAGAAATGTGTACATATATGAATACACAGTAAACTCACCATCATGTATATACACAAGATACAAACCCACCTCCTCCCCCAAAATCTGAAAGTAAATAGCAGGAGAGAGGGAAGAGTGAAGGGAAAAGGGAAATCCAGGGAACTGAACTTGAGCAAATTATATTCCATGCCTTTTAATTATGCCCAAATGAATTCAAACATTATGTATAACTAAAAAGGAACAATAAAAAAATTTTACAAAAAATAACAAATAGAGAAATCAATTTTTCATAAACCAAAATCTTGCCATTAAAAATTTCTCAAAAGGTTTATGCAAAAAAAAATTGAATTTACTCTTCATCTGTTTAATGCTCAGCAAAGGAAATGTAACAAATATATAAAGTAGTTTACCAATACTTAAAAATTTTCAAAAAACAATTTATCATTAGCTGGGCATGGTAATCCCAGTAACTCAAGAGACTGAGTCAAGAGGACTATAACTTCCAGGTCAGTCTCAGCAATTTGGCAAGACCCTTCCTCAAAGCAAAGAAGGACCTGGGGATGTAAGTCAGTGGTGAAGCATGCCTGGGGTCAATCCCCAGTACCAAATAATAATAACGATAAAAATGATAATTTAGCAATGTGAATGGATCATTTTTGAAATTTCACTATTTTCTGTTTATTGTATGTTAATACCAAAAAGCATTATATAAAAAGGAAAAATCATAATTCTTAATGACAAAACCAATATTGTCAAGTAATATTGTCCCATGCATTAAGAAATCTAATTACCACTATTCAATACTATATTTCTTAAAAATTTCTCATGGTACCATTTTGAAAGAAATTTCAAGGGACAATCTCAAAAGTATACATTTCATAATTTTAAGTTTCCTTAGAAAAAAAGAAAAATAATGATATTCACATTATTTTATTTTTAATTTAGAATACTTTTAATGCTCAAATTTAACATTTTAAATATGATACATTTAAATTTACTTAAAATGTATAAAGTCCATTTTAATGAAAAATATTTAAAATACATATTTCCTTATTAGGACTTAACATTTTAATTAATTTTGGAGCATCATATTTAAGAAATTAGAAAAAATTATGTGTGAAACTTTAAGTATTATAGGCATTTATCACAAACCATTCATTATTATATTATAATTATACTCCAAACTACATCAAAATACACATATGAACTAAACTGAAAACGTACATCAACAAATTGTATGATAAAGTGTCTCCTCTGTCCATCAGAATATACAGAAAGGACATATTCACCAGGTTTCCCATGACTCTCTCGCACCAAGAAGTCTCCTTGTTGCTTTAACAGATCTTGTGCTTCTATTCTGGGAATTGCACCATGGTACCAATCTTGTTCCGCCAGGGGCTTCTCACTTATGGAGATCACATCAGAGAGCTGAACAAATATTTTTTAAAAACTAAATTAGAGAAAACAGTGATTTTTGTCCTGGTAAAATTCATAGCAATCTATAAATACTTTTTACATGTGTTCCTCCCTTTTATTTACCAATAGAAAATTCTATACGATGATCTGAAATTTTTATAATGTTTAGAGAAAATATCTTCTGGAGCATCAGTGCTGAAGTTTAGCATAAATACAATCCCTCAATACTTTTGGTTTTTCAATCTACCACAATACAATATTAGCATTTAGAGTTAGCATTTACAGTCATATTCACTGTCATAAAATAAATCTATATATTAAAATTTAACAACCAGAGAAATTATGAAGACACATTTATCACACACAACTTCATTTTAATTTAAATTAAAAGTTATTTCTTTTGTGGAATTATCTCTTGACCACATAGGCTGTAGATTGTCCTTGTCATGTGTTCCAGGAGCACCATCTCAATTTAATTTAAAGTTGTCTTCCTGTGCATTTTCTCACTGATGGGACTTCCTTAACCATTACCTCTGCCACACAGCTGGTCCTGCTTCCATTCAGCAATGACAGATAAATTCTTAGGGAAAAACGCATCACTAACATGCAATTACGACACAGTGTAAAACTAGGGGACCCGGCAGGAAAAGCAAATTGTCTACTCTTTTGGAAGTCAAATGCTAATACCAAAATAGTACATATAATTAAGAGGTAACTATATTTCCTTGAATTTTTTCTGAATGATGGTAGATATAATCACACATTTTCTGATCACAAGTAAAAAGTACTTTCTGTATATCAGCGACAAAACTTCTGAAATGGAAATGAGGAAAAACACTCCATTCACAATATCCTCCAAAAAAATAAAATACTTGGGAATCAACCTAACAAAAGAGGTGAAAGATTTATACAATGAAAACTACAGAACCCTAAAGAAAGAAGTAAAGAAGATCTTAGAAGATGGAAAAATATACCCTGTTCATGGATAGGCAGAACTAACATTATCAAAATGGCGATATTACCAAAAGTTCTCTATAGGTTTAATGCAATGSCAATCAAAATCCCAACGGCATTTCTTGTAGAAATAGATAAAGCAATCATGAAATTCATATGGAAAAATAAAAGAYCCAGAATAGCAAAAGCAATTCTAAGCAGGAAGTGTGAATCAGGCGGTATAGCRATACCAGATTTCAAACTATATTACAGAGCAATAGTRACAAAAACAGCATGGTACTGGTACCAAAACAGGCRGGTGGACCAATGGTATAGAATAGAGGACACAGAGACTAATCCACAAAGTTACAACTATCTTATATTTGATAAAGGGGCTAAAAGCATGCAATGGAGGAARGATAGCATCTTCAACAAATGGTGTTGGGAAAACTGGAAATCCATATGCAACAAAATGAAACTGAATCCCTTTCTCTCGCCATGCACAAAAGTTAACTCAAAATGGATCAAGGAGCTTGATATCAAATCAGAGACTCTGCATCTGATAGAAGAAAAAGTTGGCTCCGATCTACATATTGTGGGGTCAGGCTCCAAATTCCTTAATAGGACACCCATAGCACAAGAGTTAACAACAAGAATCAACAAATGGGACTTACTTAAACTAAAAAGTTTTTTCTCAGCAAAAGAAACAATAAGAGAGGTAAATAGGGAGCCTACATCCTGGGAACAAATTTTTACTCCTCATACTTCAGATAGAGCCCTAATATCCAGAGTATACAAAGAACTCAAAAAATTAGACAATAAGATAACAAATAACCCAATCAACAAATGGGCCAAGGACCTGAACAGACACTTCTCAGAGGAGGATATACAATCAATCAACAAGTACATGAAAAAATGCTCACCATCTCTAGCAGTCAGAGAAATGCAAATCAAAACCACCCTAAGATACCATCTCACTCCAGTAAGATTGGCAGCCACTATGAAGTCAAACAACAACAAGTGCTGGCGAGGATGTGGAGAAAAGGGTACTCTTGTACATTGCTGGTGGAACTGCAAATTGGTGCGGCCAATTTGGAAAGCAGTTTGGAGATTTCTTGGAAAGCTGGGAATGGAACCACCATTTGACCCTGCTATTGCCCTTCTCGGACTATTCCCTGAAGACCTTAAAAGAGCATGCTACAGGGATGCTGCCACATCGATGTTTATAGCAGCACAATTCACAATAGCTAGACTGTGGAACCAACCCAGATGCCCTTCAATAGATGAATGGATAAAAAAAAATGTGGCATCTATACACAATGGAGTACTATGCAGCAATAAAAAATGACAAAATCATAGAATTTGCAGGGAAATGGATGGCACTAGAGCAGATTATGCTTAGTGAAGCTAGTCAATCCCTAAAAAACAAATACCAAATGTCTTCTTTGATATAATGAGAGCAACTATGAACAGAGAGGGAGGAAGAGCAGGAAGAAAAGATTAACATTAAACAGAGACATGAGATGGGAGGGAAAGGGAGAGAAAAGGGAAATTGCATGGAGATGAAGGGAGACCCTCATTGCTATACAAAATTACATATAAGAGGTTGTGAGGGGAATGGGAAAATAAACAAGGAGAGAAATGAATTACAGTAGATGGGGTAGAGAGAGAACATGGGAGAGGAGGGGAGGGGGGATAGTAGGGGATAGGATAGGTAGCAGAATACAACAATTACTAATTGGGCATTATGTAAAATTGTGGATGTGTAACCGACGTGATTCTGCAATCTGCATTTGGGGTAAAATTGGGAGTTCATAACCCACTTCAATCTAATGTATGAAATATGATATGTCAAGAGCTTTGTAATGTTGTGAACAACCAATAAAAATTAAAAAAAAAAGTACTGTTGTTATATTTTATTCATCCATAGGAACTAAACCGATGCAGATGGTGAGAACATTTTATGGGTAAGGTATAATAATTTGCATCCATTCTAAAGATTCTCAAAATACAATATGCATAATGCCTCGTGAGAAAGTAATTTATAAACAGGAAAATCAGAAGCTAGGACATTTGGGGGCATGTCATTGGAAGGAATATTGAGACCCCAGGTCCTTCCTGTCTCTTTCTCTCTCTTTGCTTCCTGGCTGACATGAAGTGAACAGCATCTTCACTAAGTGATTCTGCCAAGATGTACTGTGATGCCATAGGCCTGAAGTCCATGGAGTCAACCAACCCCAGAATGAAACTTCTTAAACCATAAGCCAAAATAAACACTACCTTCTAATAAGTTTTTCTTTTATTTACAATGCATTTTGTCAGGATGATGGAAAGCTGACTAACACAATAAATAAAAGCCAAGTATTTGCATATAGGTTTTATGAGCTGATATTATGAACTCGATGCATGACCAAAGTAGGGTATCTTTGAATTAAGTGAAAACTCTTCATTGTTTGGTACCACCAAAGAGGCCCAAAACACTAATACAAGTGCCATTTCACATTATCCTGAACTCTTTTATTGGTTAAAAGTAAATACATACAAAATAAAGTGATAATCTACCCAAATAGACTTAAAGAAAAGTATACATTTGGTTTTTACTAATGAACGTTTCAAATTTTTAAAAATATATACAGGGTGTGACTGTACATGGAAACTTTTTAATAAATGAAATAATCCTTTTTCTTTTAGTAGTAATTATGATAAAGATGATATTTTTAAAAATTTTAATGTAATCCCCCAAATGCGCTTAGAGAACAAATTTAATAATGAACCAGGCAAAACTATGAGAAATAAAAGAACCATATTTTTAAAAAGAAATGCATCATCTAACCAAAATTAATTATTTTGCATATTGATACTAATAGCTTATAATTCTTGAAGGTAGTTAAAACAATCAGATGTTTATTTTTTAAAACTTATCACAGTGAATCTCATTGTAATCAGCATAAAAATTTTTACTATAAGAGAAATATTTCTAAGATTTCTTAGTGGCAAAATTGTTTGAATATGAAAACTCAATGTAACATATTTTCAAAGAACTTGTTTTGCGAGAGAGCGAGAGCTCGCTCTCTCTCTCTCTCTCTCTCTCTCTCTCTCTCTCTCTCTCTCTCGGAGTTCTACATAATAGGAAAGCATCACACCCAAGGATGTCATATTCTTGAGGTTTTATTTTGGCTAAATTTTCCATCAAAGTGTACATTTATTTAGAACTGGGAAAATGCAGAGTTTAGAGATTTCACTGTCTGAAAAGTGGTTTGAAGTATAGAAGCTCATCTAAGGTTCAAGAAATTCATATAAGGATTTGAAGATGATAAATATGTTTGGGGGAAAAAATCAATCTGAGAAAATATCTAAGTTTCAGGTTTTTGGGTTTTTTGTGTTTTTTTTCTGTTGTTTGTTTTTTAAAAAGTATAAAGGAGCCTATATTGCTATCTCATAATGATGACACTTCAGTTCTATGGGTTTATTAGTTTTGTGGGGTTAGGAAGTGAAGTTTGAGATCTGTTTTTCTCCATTTCCTTAAAAATACTACTTTGAGATGTAGTTTGCATTTCTTATAAGTATAAGGTGTATATCAAGTTTGTGCACACATACATATCCTCTGCCTAGGGCTATCAGATCTTTCAAAGACTTTTCTGGAAGCACTGGAAAGGACATTTTTATTAATATGATTTCAGTGAAATTATAATACAACTTTGCAATCTTGACAGTAATAGAATATAGGATGTATCAGCAACTAAATCCAGCATGATGAGAACTTACAATGGTTATCAAAAATGAAAGCCTTTTTATCGCAAAGATCTCATCTTTCTAATCTTCTGTGGGGAAAAATTTTTTATTGGTGGTTAAGTTACCAGAGATTTTTGCCAAGATATAAGGGGCTAAGAAGCCTACTTTTATAAAAGTTATAATTAATCTAATTCAGTTAATAAGTTACACTTAATAAGATGAAGTTTCCTGATTGACCACACTACTCATCTAGTCAGTTATTTTCCCCAGGTCTTATTCTGAAAGAATATTCCAGGAAAAAAAACATATTTGGCTTAATGAAATAAAAAGTTTTATTTGTGTGAAGA